AATTTGGAGTACAGACTTAGTTAAATGCCTGTGATGGTTGGCCTAATTGCCTGCTTTGAAAAATAGATACAAGAGAAAAACTCTGACAAACTGCTGATCGTTTGTCTCCTCGGTTGCTTATTTATTTATTTATTTATTTTCAGTCAACCATAAATAATACCCGAAGTTGCAGAAAGCTGTGAAACATATTTTAAGTATAATGTCATTCCGTACCTTATATGCTGGGCTTTTAATTCCCACCGGTAAAGAAGGAACTGCCTGCAGTTTGCCACCAATAAAATCAATTCCAAATTCAATTTGCCTTGTGGTATTTATAACATCCCATGACACTGAGTCACTGTTGTTAGCAAAAAAAAAAAAAAAATAAGCAACCGAGGAGACAAACGATCAGCAGTTTGTCAGAGTTTTTCTCTTGTATCTATTTTTCAAAGCAGGCAATTAGGCCAACCATCACAGGCATTTAACTAAGTCTGTACTCCAAATTGATTCAGACTCCAGCTTTGGACCTTGCAGACACGGTGCATTTAGTTATGCAAATGCTTATCTCGCTGTGTGATTGGTTAATTAACCTGCAATGCAGATAGTCCCGGCAATGCACCGTGGCCGTTTGATGGCTAAATTGTGGGTCAATTGGGTTTTTAACATTTTCAAAGCAGACTCAGTGGCGTGTCTTTGTTCCTCTGAGTCTGTGTGGCTTTTCACGGTTTAATAACTCCTTCCGTGGCTCCCACAAGGTTAATGTGTTTAAACTCGCTGTAATTGAGCTTTTGACCTATCGTTCACGCTTTTTGTTTTAAAAAAGAAATCATCACATTATGTTTTCTGCCCCTTGATTGTTATTATCCACCATCCCTTCTCCTCCCCTTGATGCTCTGCCCCAAACTCTACCAATCATTCCACCCTGAGTTATGAGCATCCACATGGGAAGTCATTTATAATGCCATTGGAGTGACAATAATGCATTTGCAGACCATTTCCCTCTGCACTCCCTGCCTCAGCAAGCTTTTACAAGTCATGTTTTTATTTTCCCAGGAAAAAAAAACACAACTTTCCACAACTATGTCCTCAGAGAACATTAAAAAAAAGTGTTTAACCAAAATGAGCAATGAGTAACAACTCACGTTACTCACAAACAGCATGTACTTTCATCACTCGACATCAACATTTGTTTACAATTTTGCAGCAGCAACGATTGAGAAAAGTTTAGTTGTGGGGGGGGGGAGAAGAAGAATGAAAAGAGAGGAAATGGGAGCGAGGGAGACACAGTAAAGCCAATGAGAGCGTTTCTTTTTATTGTTCACTGAACAATTATGTTCAGATTCCGCTGTCAGGTGGGTATCATTCCACATGAGATACAGAGACAACTCCTGACAGCCCACACATATTTTTCTTTCTTTTAAATCCAGATATTGCTCGACTGACAAATCTTGACAACATGACAATTTCTTGTCACTGGGCTAAACGCTGTGTGAGGCTGATACTTATTAGTAGAGAAATGTGGCGAGTGTGTTGTATTMATTCTCCATCATTAGGAGGAGGTAATGAAGACGTGTGCTGAGGAACCTATGTAGAGCTCTTCTCATGCACGGCCTTGTGTGTAATTAAATGCTTGTGTTGTCGTTAACGTTGCAGGTGATCCTGATCTTGACTAAGCTGTATGACTTCAACCTTGGTGCCGCTACCGAAAGCTCGCTCTGGAGGTAAGTTTCCCTCATGTTTAATCACAGCTCCCTTGTTTTTTTTTTTTTCCATCTAAATACAAAGGTTAGGGCGTCAGCCTCAAAACAATAAGAATAAAATATTCACAAAGTGTGCTGTATATTGTAAGTGAGATTTATCGTACGCTCCTTGACTGGGATATGAACAATCACGTTTCACAGCGAGTCTGTGTGAAGTATGTTTTAATAAACCGTTCTGAGGTGGTTTCAGATTGAACCGTCCTCCTCCCTGCTTCCTGCAGCCCCATAAATAACACAAGCAACACTGCGGCACCCTTTTAGAAGAGCCCCCAYTTTCTGTCCATCATCAGAAAGGAAACTTTTTGAAAGGCTATTTCTGAAAAGATAAACCGGATGACTGATCTGAGGTCTTCTTTGTTTGGATCTGTGCTGCTTTTTTTCCTCTGACCTAGAAACTTTCGGATGGCGTTTTTTATTTTTTTATTTTATTTTTTTTTGTGATTGATTGTCATCTGTAACCTTTTGTTTCAGAAGCAGTTGACATGCAATAGTCCTAGTAATTTGATTCGGTCTGTATTGAGAGGTGAGTTACAGTGCCCTGTCAGGTCATAAATAAGAATAGAATTCAAAAAGGATTATACCGGGCAGTCCAATACTGTCTTTGATATGCCTTCTCTCACCTCTCCAAATGCCTGCGGAGAACTCATTTCATTCTGAAATACACATGAAAAAGAGACCATCAGTTCACCAAGCATAGAGTTTCAAATTAATATCTGTTTCTCCAGAGGCATTGCTAAGATTTACACTCGACTTGACTCACTTTGAAATTCCATATTGTGTACAGGAGGTATTCCATCATCAAGGTGTCTGCTTAACAATAGCCTACAAGTAAATTAGAGTAGCTCGGGGGGTCGCGGAGGCTCTTAGTATGGGCATTAGTAAAACAGCAGTCTGAATGTTATGAAAAGAAGAGAGTAAATGATTTCTGTGATAACACAATAAATGATTTATGCCTACAGCTGCAGGGCTCAGTTGGTGGCAAAACACAGTGTGTGGATCAATGGGTGATTTGCATGAGATATCTAAACATGCGCAGAGTCCCCTTTGTGTTCTGGGATGAAATGTAATAACGCCATTTAAGAGTCCTTCAACCTCCACAGTCAAAGACAGGAGAGCCATCAGAAAAGAGCATTTAATCTCCAGTGTTTTCAGTGGTAAGTTTCTGGAAACAGGAAATGGACAGTTCAAGTTAATGCATTGACAATGATAGCAGACTGTGGGTTCCCATCCAATTATGCTGTGAAATTACATTTGGAGGCACCCAGGTGAGGAGAAATATGGAGACATGAATGACAAACACGTCTGTCCTTGTCACGAGCGGCGGTTTGGCGAGGCGCTAGCATCCTTAAATGCAGCAGTAGACATTTTATTTTATTTTTATACAGGTTGTTTTRTTAATAAGACCAAGAACTGGGGTACTACTATGATGAAACTGATCAAATTGTTATTCTAAGGCTGATTATATTTATGTGCTTTTGATGATTACTTTTTTTCTTAACCTAGGAGCCTCTTCCTATTTTTCTCAAACAATTTATTGATATTCAATCATTTGCAGTAAATTGACTGAAGGRGTGATCATTTCTAACAAGATCATTGATGATAAATTAAGGAAAGTGGACTCTTAAGGTTTTATTTTTATTTTTTTGTAATTTTTGGAAGCAAAAACTTGACTAAACGGTAGGACATCCATCTTGAAACATATGGCATGCTCTGGAGAGGCAGTCATCTTAAGGAGAATGTGTTTAGTTAATGGACCAAACRTGCCAAACTTTTGCAATGGTGCACTAATGGATTTGTTTTCTCTCTAAAACATGTGATGTTGCTTGTTTTTGTTCAGGTCCACTGATTATGGCAGCACCTACACCAAACTCAATGACAAAGTGGGTTCAAGGACAGTTTTAAGCTACCTCTATGTCTGCCCTACCAACAAGCAGAAGGTCAGCCTTTCCTTTTGGCTTTTATCTCTCTCTGCTCCTGTATAAATGTAGTCCAGACATCAAACTGAGATTTCTCAAAATTACTGCCAAATGAGAGTTTTTTCTGTGTCTTTCTCCTTCTTATATATATCCCTCATGCGGCCATCTATACTTTAGATAATGATGCTTAGTGACCCAGAGGTAGAGAGTGCTGTTCTCATCAGTTCGGATGAAGGGGCCAGCTTCGAGAAATATCCCATTAACTTCAACGTCCTGAGCCTCCTCTTCCACCCAGCACAGGAGAACTGGATTCTGGCTTACAGTCATGACAACAAGGTAGTTTTTTTGTTGAATCTGCAATCAACTTTTACCTTGAAAGAAAATACTAAATAATGCAGGAAACAATATATTTGAATTTATTTTAGTGTTGGTTTGCCTTGAAATGAATTAATGATGCCATGCTTATTACTATATTTCTCCACAAACCTTGAAGAGACAGTATGATAATTTTTTTAAGTGATGAAGAATAGGGCAGAAATCTTCCTCCAGCCTAGGCTAATGGCTAGTCAAAGGAGGACCCATTTTATATAGTTTTCCAGGCTTATAGACAGAGGTGTCAAAAGTATTCACATTCATTACATAAGTAGAAGTATAGATACTAGGGTTTAAAAATACTTTTTTGGAAGTAGAAGTATCAACTCAAGCTTTTTACTCAAGTATAAAAGTACTGGTTTTAAAACTACTTACTAGACTGACTAGACTTAGCCTGGTAAAAATCAGACCCTTGTCCTTCACTTTGTTTTGTACGAGGGTCTGGACTCTCRGCTTTAGAGAAGCAATTCTTGCTGGAGGCGTGGCCTCTGCTGAAGTTTAAAATGATTGGATYGGTTGGGCACGACGTATGTCGCTGTGAAAGAGGCTAAGCTAAGAAGCTAACAAGAAATTGYGTGCGCTGTAAAACCCCTACTGAGAGGGGAAATGTACAGACCTGAACGAGACGACTAAATGAGAGCTGCTGCTGCTTTGTCAGACAAATTTAATTTAATTTGGAAACCTTATCAACACAGACTGGCTTCATTCACTTCCTCCACTGCCATTGATAAAATAACTAGCAGACACTGCGCAGAAAATCGACGTTGTTCAAAACTCCACCTTCTGTTCTCTGATTGGCCCAGGTAAAATAAACTACATGCAGACACTGCACAGAAAATCAACGTTCTGTTCTCTGATTGGCCCGGATGAAAATTCTCCCAAAGAAATCCTTGTCTATGGGAGAAATTCTAGACGTAGCAGTGAAGGGAARCTACTACACAGGTGTGATGGAGTGAGTTCAATCCAATAGGATGTCAGAATGGTATATATTTACACTTTTTACACTTACAGTATATTTACACTTCTCATCAACCACAATCAAATTCACTCTGTCCATGGGCTCCATGTGTCTGGATAGATTTATATTTATTAATTTTTTTTCTGAACAATGAAAAGATGGAATAAAAACAAGTCAAAGTTAAATAGAAATGAAATACTTTTTGCATTTTTAMAAAGTAAGGAGTAGAAAGTACAGATAATTGAATTAAAATGTAAGAAGTAGAAGTAAAAAGTAGTCTGAAAAAATAATTACTCCACTAAAGTATAAATAACCAAAATTACTACTTAAGTAAAGTAACAAAGTATTTGTACTTAGTTACTTGACACCTCTGCTTATAGAGCAACTTTTTCTCCAAAATGTCTTTTTGGTGTGAAATGAAAGTTGCATTACGAAATATTAAACGTCTACACTAGGGGGTGTCAAACTCATTTTCACCGAGGGCCACATGAGCATCATAAAGGACCAGTTGTAATTACTTTCAAAATTTCCTGTTAAATACTAATAAAACATGAAATGTCACGTTAATTGTCATTTGCTATGACTGAGTGCAGCTAACAAACAATAACTGCGCTCCACATRGTATACCCTGCATAGAAACMGTGTTTTAACATAYCCTCTGATAAACAGTGAAAARTATTATGTGTACGATGGACTAAATAAKAAATAAATAATACAGACACAATATTAAAGRTAAAAGTAAAAGATTTTTGGATGATTTTACTCRCYGTTGAGTTGTGRCGAGTAGCCGCCGTCATGACTTCTGAACTCTCCCTCTTTCTGGCAGGGAATTCCCACTGGAAGGGGTGTTCCAGTTTAAATGTACTACTTGTAAATGGGAAATTCACACTTCCCAGTACAAATGGGCCGCAGGAAAAGTAGTTGGCAAAAATGCAGTGAAATGCTGATTTCCACAGTGAATTTTGCCAAGAACWGGCTACCAATTACTTTTTGATCTCCGTGCACCTCCAGCTAGTGGTGGGATGCTGTCATTTTGCAGGTAAAAAAATACATGCATTTTGAAAGATGTTCTTCAAATATGGAAGATGTAGTTTATGGTCAATGCTTGCGACATACACTTGTTTTGAAATGGTCTCGTAAGGCCACATAAAATGACTTGCTGGGCCATATTTGGCCTGCGGACCTTAAGATTAACACAGTGTTGTTGATGCTGTGGSTGCTGAATGTGGCCACCTAAACAACACATTTTGGCCGCCATAACTTGACTCAACTCCTGGTGGACTGATACATTCAGTAGCCATTAGCCTGCCCTGAAGGAAGACTTCTGCCCTTTACTTTGTACTCTATGACTGAAAATGTCACCCCTGTTAAAACACTGCTGATAACTATTTGACAGAGCATGGCAATAAAAATAAATAATTAAAAAACAGACTATCCATTTAAWTGTGATAAAAGTTGGTGTCATTTTGTTTTGCAGGTATACAGTTCTATGGATTTTGGGAGGAAATGGCAGCTTGTTCATGATAACGTGATGCCAGGCAGATTTTATTGGTATGATTATGTGGATTTTTTTTCTTTTTACCTGTTTTGTGTTCAGGTTGATTGTAATTTGCATAATGATGCTGTTCGTGATCAGTCTATGGGAAGAGTCCAGTGACYGCTCGTCAAAAACAGATTTCCACCATTGATGCCAAGAACCGAACTGATTAAATCCACCTCACGTGGATCTGATTTAACAATGTGCTTTCCTTTCTGGAGCACAAACACAACATGCTGTTTTTTTTGTTGTTGTTGTTGCAGCCATTTAGCAATCTTTAGTGCACAGGCACAAAGGAGTGAATATTGATGTGAATCCGTTTACCCTGCTGGTCAAAGGATGTGTCCAACCAAGTGTGCTTTTATTTATTTATTTTTTTAYCCAGGAAATAAAGGACATTGGTTGGAGGACATTCTCTCTACRTGTGAACAGTCTGATGTTTCACAAATTAGAGGAGCACAGTGGGTACAGCAGCACCCGAAATAATGCATTATTTGTGCTCTTGAGTATTATTCTGTCATGCGCATTATGTCAAAAAAGTTATTTTTTCAAATCTGTTGCAGCTGMCTGCAATTACATAACAGCACACATTGTCTATGGTAGATATATTTTTTGGAACAGTGACTGCCTTTGTTGATGCCTTGGTGAATTGAGATTAATTGCCACTGSTGGTGCAATTTCATCTCTGAGTGTATTGCAGCTGACAAAAAGATATCGTTGTAGGTTTTTCGGCATAGGGATGACCATCTACAGCTGCTACACCCGACCAAGCATCCCCTTCTKTTTTTCCTAATTCTCATTTATCCTTTTTGTATCAACTAACCCTATTTCTGCTCCCCTCTGTCTCCTCTTCCTGTTCCTTTCAAGGGCSGTAATGGGGCTGGACAGAGAATCAGATGTGGTCCACATTGAGACACGCATCGCAAAAGGCCGTGAGTGCTGCAATTCAGTCTGCCGCWGTAGCAAGACCCACAAGACCCCTTGGCTCTCATTTAGAGGGAGGTCATGGGCAAGATGAGACCTGTTCTGCTGCTCAGATTGGTCCCCGAAGTCTAGTAAAGCAGAATAGGTGTCTCCTGGAAAAAAACAGCGATTTTTAGAGGGCTGATGGATGTTTCCTTCCTTTAATCTGTCCCCAGTGTTTCATAGACAAAGCTCAGSTTCTCCTTTTTAAACAAGACTGCATATTCTTTCAAAGCAGTTGTAGATGTTTCCTACCTGGTGTTCAGGGGGAAGAGGGCTGTATATGTAAAATGTACACAGAAAAAATGCCAGTGTTCATCACCCACAGTGTTAATTTCAACACCAACCAAGTGTCTATATCCGTCCACACTTGCTGGTGTTAAAATAACATTTGTGAAAGTGTTCAATTTTAACACCCACAAAGGTTAACAGACACCACAAGGTGTCAACACACCATAAATTTCAGTGTAAATTTAACACTCAGAGTTAAAATCAAAGTCTTTGTAGTGTTGCAGTAACACCACTCAGGAGTTAATAGAAACGTATCATGGAGTCACCCTTCACTCACCAGGAAGTACCTCTTACTCATGGTGTCTATTTATGGCCAAAAACACAAACTTAAACTTGAACAACTTGATCAAACTGAACAAGACAACTAACCAGAACAACTATTTTTTTACTCTAATGAACTTCTTTAGTAGTCACGAACATACAAACACATCATTTCTACAACTTGTCTGTGAATCTGCATAGCAACTCTGCTTGTCTAACACAAATTTCAAACTGTTTTTATGACAAACTAATGGAGCTTTGCTTATAAAGTTCAGGTCAAAGTAACAACACCTCT